AGAAAATTTATGAAAACTTCAGAAATATTTCAGGAACTTCACAGAAGTCCTGAGAATTTTAGGGAAATTTATCTTCAATAGAACTGAGAGCTTTAGGGAAGCTTCGAGAACATCAAGACAGATCAGAGAATCAAACGGCAGTTCAAATAATTTCAAGGAAGTTGTCGAAACCATCAAGAAGTTCCGGAAACTTCAGCAAAGCTCCTAGAGAATTTCTGGGACGTGATAAAAATTATGTGAACATCCGGAAAACGTAAGAGTAATTTATAGGTGTTATATCATGAAGATTACAAGAACTTAAAAAATGCAAAAATGGGGTATTCCAAGAATTCTTTGATTGAAACGAAATCGTCAGGGAATTTTGAATAGATATCAGAAAATTTGCTGGATTATTAAACCAACTTAGAGAACTTCTGGTGAGCATAGATAAGTTTAGGTAAAATAAGTGAGGGTTTATAATGGTTAGAATACTTAAGGAAAATTTACGAAACTTCAAAGTTGCGGGTTGTTAAAATATACTGATCAATTGAGGGCAGTCTATAGAACTTTTAAAAAATTCGGTAATCGTTTAAGCAGTTTTAATAACACCAGGAAAGTCTAGACTATTGAAGAAGTTTTAAATTAGTAAATCATAAAACTATATTGGAAGCACAAAAGTTCCAGAAATTTAGAAAAACTTCGAAAACTTCACAGAAGGACAGTTAAACATTTTTAGGACGGATCAAGTAAATTCAGCGCAGTACAACAAGCTTCATGAGAACTGCAAAAACGTTACAGGAGTTTTGAGAATTTCAAGAAAGAACAGAGAACCTCAGAGCATTTCCGTTAACATTAGAGAAGTCACATAAATTTTAAAGAAGTTTAGAGAACTTCAGCAAATTGTTAAACCTTTAGAAGGGATCCATGATCGTTAGAAAAATTAAGGAAACATTAGGAAGTCCTATAAAGTTCAGGAAAGTTTAAGAATTTGATGAGTAGTATTGTGAGCATCAGGCTAGTTTCTTAAACTACAAAAGCACTTCAAGGCAGTTTCATTAACTTCAGGAAAAAATTGGAAACTTTCTAGTTGTTCTGAAGACCTCTCCTGAATTCACTTAATAAAGCTAATGAACTTAAATAAGAAAATTCAGAAACTCTAATAACATTAAGTAGATTAACAAAAGAATAAGGATGCAGGGGGTCCGCTTAGGGAGGCAACTAGCCTTTAAAGTTGTAGAATATATCTTCCTATTCAGCTCAATAAGAAAACGCAAGCAGACCAATAGAATGCAGATTAACAAGGAGAGGAATAGTTTAGGAAATAAGTAAAATTAGAAGTATGTGACAATTAATAACTTTTAATATTTTGTAGGTATTGGTTTCCCCTGCGTTTATCGTACTCGATTACTATATTATTCTCTCAATACACGAAATCTCTGATATATGCCGTTAAAGCATTTGAGTTGACTTATTTCTTTTTGTTCAAGTACTTACATTTGTAAACAGCAGGCAATGTTAATTTATAAACTAAACCCTACGTGACTGTAAAATCGATCTTTCAATACGTGGTATTGATGCATGTTTATCTTTAAGCGGCTGTCGGATTCAACGCGCCTACGTCTACGGAGCTTACGCAGAAGTGATTCGCAACTCGGTAGCGCTTGCCAAAAGTTTTTTGAGCTTATGTAGTTTAGAATTTGTTCGGTACGGTCGCGAAATTTTGAAATACGTACGGTGAAATAACTAATTTGAAACAAAGCTAATAAAAAGTAGAATATCTAGAAAGGAAACCAAAATTAATCAACTTGCCAACAAAGGCTATCACATTTACTGTTGCGACAACCACTGGGTCGTCACCGGGCGATTGTGCGACCGAGCGCTCCCTCGACTTGGTCGAGTGACATATAGTATGAGGAATGACAACCGTTGACATCGAAAACAGTAATCAGAAGTGTTTTTCTAAGAAACACGTTAACACAAAGTGAAATTCATCTGCTTGTGGAATTATTTAATATTGATATAAACCTAATTGCTTTTATTTAGTACTAGAATAGTGGTCTGGATTAGTAAAATCTAAATATTATAAATCCGTAAGTCATTTGTATTATTACATTCAGAATTTGATCTAATTAGTTTCCTAACCTAGATTCACCACTACCTAAATCTAAAGTTGAAAATAAGATAATTGGAATCTAAATTTGTTATTCTAATACTGAAATGTAAGTACATTTGATACCTATATATCGATATAATTAAAACCTAAATAAAATTGCAGCTTTGAAGCTGTAAGTAACAGAAGCAGAATTTCAGTGTTTTGTTTCCAAACTATCGCAACATTTACGTTGGTGGCACTCGTTAAATGATAAAAAGCCTTTTTTTTATCGCCTTGGTTGATTCGAACGGCGTTCGGAATTCGCGCGGTTTTCGTAACTTACATAATTTAGATATTTCGTTCGAAATAGATTTACTTATTTAATTGGTTTACTACGCGGATGTATCTACGCGCACACGTCACAGCATTTTTTCCATAACTATCTTGAAACAATGGGGGTTATTCCGAGAGTCGAAGTGACTTTTGTCACTAGTGAAGTGAGAAAAATCACGTCGTGGTGACGTGACTCTCCATTTAATTTGCACAGAGAGTCACGTCACCACGACGTGACTTTTCTCACTTCACTGGTGACTAAAGTCACTTCGACTCTCGGAATAACCCCTAATACACACGGAATCCAGTGTTCAAGCTGCCAAAATAGGCTAGTCCTTCTGCTGTATTGTCAAGTAACATTTATTCAAATGGGTCAAGTCTTGAAAACTAAGCTGTCACGCAGCTCCAGCTTGATGCCCAATAAAAAAAAATGAAAAAATAAATCATGTCAGCCTAATTTTTTTAAGTTCTGGCCAGCCATAATGCTCGTATTGCTTAACCTAACCTTCTTACTACTACTACAGTCAACTGCTTTTGCTTTTGTGACTCAATAGAAAAATAAACATTGACTCACACTCCATTAGCGAAATTGAAAAGCTCTTCCAAAAATCAAGAGCAAACAGAACATATTTCATGGTGTTACCTGTCACCTACATGCATGGATCCCTGTTTGTGGCACGTGTCAATCATTCACCCTTGCTTGTGTGAGTTTAACAGTACCTATTATCGAAAGATTGAATGAAATATCTTACCACTTTTAGTTTTTCAAGGTCCAAAAATTCAAACCCAGTTTTTAACGAAGCATAATTTCAGATTGCAAAAAGCTATCGTCATTACATTTGTTTAGCTATTTTACACAAAATGACGCAAAATGAAATAATGCGCCGGAAAAACTGGGTTTTAATGTTTCGAAAAAGCATCAAAGTAAATTGCCTCTGGATCATTTTCGAAGGGACGTATCAGCTTCTGTAAACAATGCATTTTATCGTCGATTTAACGTAACTGGTAGCTTGCTCACGCATGCTAACACTATCATCAGATGGGGAAAATCTTCCTTTCGAAAATGTAATCGAGATTTCTATATTTAAGATTTAAGTATTTAAGGAAAATTAGGTGTTTATTTTCAATCGCGTTACATCAACCATAACCAGTTGTGAAAAAGGTTCACTTCAAACAGAATCCGCTAATAAATCGCCTAATATTTCGTCGAAGGGGCAAGGTTCCAGAACGCATAAAAAGCAATCGCTTTGAATGTAAACGTAAATCATTTTAAACTCATCATGGCTTATACGCTGTGCCACCACTTTTACGTAAACAGAGACCGCTCGGTAGTATTTATGGTGTCGCGACGTCCTTTTGCCCACCACCACCACCACCAGCAGCAGCACCATTGTGGATTAGGTTGCATGGGTCGTTAAAAAATAATGTGTACGGAGACATCCCGACGCCATCGACGGCCGTGCTCCTGATTCGTTTAGCAGTGCAAAATTGCCCCCCTATCTAATATGGCTGTGCTGTTCCGACTACACTCTTGTTTGTTTGAGTTGGAGAGTTTTCACCGTTCGCCGCTGTATCGTGTCGTCCCTTTTCTGTCTCTCTACAAAAGGACTAATGGGAGTCACTTGTAAATATTGGATTTGTGACGGATTTTACAGATGGCTTTGTTCGGTTCATGTTGTGATGTTTACAGTAGCGTTTTTAATAGGAAGCATTATTGTGTAATAAATTTCGATTCGTAGCATCTCTCCAAAGAGGGAAGCTCGCTATTTCCTGTCCACATAAAGCGAGCCTTCGATTCCGTGAGGATGTTAACCAACCAGTACATTACTCTTCATTCTTAGTGGGCCAACAAAAAAGTATCCCAAAGGTGCCGAAAGCAATTCACCTCAACAGTTTAGTATATGGCCATCTGATCCGCCCTTATCAATATTTGATTACCGTACCTGGGTATGTACGTTGCCAAAGTTCGTTTCATCGTGATTGCGTTACACGTGCCTTGCCTGCCAAACGAGTCTCGACTGATCCGGCCGACACGCAAAGGTACTTTCACCTTAAAATGCGCCAAGATAGAGGGATAGGCTGCACTCCCGAAGGAAGGTGTTGAGATCTCGTGGAAAAACGGAAATTCCACCTACTACACTTATCCAACATACACACATACGCGCTCGCATCAGACATTCCGAAGGATACTACTTGCCATAAATTCGCAAGATTTATTGTTGAAGAAAGCGAAATAGCGCCACGTCTCGCTATGCACGCCGTCGTGTTCACCGTCGTTGTCGTGCTGAGGGTAGCCATAATGGAGCTTCACCTACTAAATACTTCAAGTCGAATACGTATACGTGTGCTCGGTGCCAGAATCGATACATTTCTTGCGAATAATTCCATGCCTGCTCAACTTAGGTGCTATATTATGAATTGAAATGGGTGGCCTAATACTTCCCATGGGAAGCTCGACTGCTTTTATTCTCCTCGTACCGGAAACGAAAACGGTGCATTAGCGAAACAACTTCTTTTTGCATACCTACGTATAGAACCAACGGCTAAGAACATGTTGCTAATACCTTCTTCTTTTTTTTTACTTTTCCCATTTCAGGCAACGATCGGTATAGACTTCCTGTCGAAAACCATGTACCTAGAGGACCGAACAGTGAGATTACAGCTGTGGGACACTGCCGGACAGGAGCGATTCCGATCGCTGATACCATCGTACATTCGTGATTCAACCGTAGCCGTAGTTGTGTACGATATTACAAGTGAGTCTCCTCCGAGTCCCCGCAATCAAAAAGCTATTTCTGCGTCCGTTCTTTTTTCTTTTATTTTGAGTGGAGCAAAAGTTGCTTGTGCGTTTGAAGAAAACTTTGAATGGAAGGGAGAGGAAACTTTCCCGGCAAATGGTCCTTGTTGGAAAACAGAATTATCGGTCGTTGGACGTCTGGTTGAAGCTATAAGTGCGGACGCTTGGAAGTGGAAAAACAAACGAATTGGATTTAATGTGCATTTAGTAGGATTTCGGTGTCCCCATGGTCGTGACCTTTGGGCAGGAGTTGAACCCGATTTGAATTATACAGGATGTGTGTGTATGGAATAGTTTGATAAAAATTGTGGAGATTTGAACCACTTATGGTGACCGTTTTTGGCTTTGTGTTTAACTTTTTATTTGTTTCAAATCCAAATTAAATTAAATTTCATTTTAATCTAGGTGCTCCAGCTACAAAAGTAACTTACCAGCCTTAGTTGTTATGATATACATCTAAGTGTGTTTACATTGTTACTGCTTTGGCAATTCAGTATTTTGAACAGATGTTCCATAACTGTCAAACTAAATACTAAAACTTAATCTCTTTTTTTTTTGCTTGATTTGTTTTCCGTGCTGAGCACCACTGCTATCGACGCCAGGGAGGCAGCTCCCACACCTGGACCCTACCTATCGACCCATCAACCTTTTTTTTTTAATCTTTATTTTAGAGATGTTTAGCCGAACGCTAGTTCATCTCTGGACCCATCAACTCATGAACCGGGGACCAACGGCTTTAATTCCCTTCCGAAGGAAGGCGTGATCAGAGATGTTATGCCTCAAAACTTAATCTCATCTAAATATAAAGGGAGCTTTTGCCTGCAATTATTAATTATTTTGTTCTAAAGTCTCAACATACGAAATTATATATATCTCGGTAGTACTGTACTGCCGACACTCGCATAATTGTCCCATCTTTGCTTGATTTCCTATTCATATGGGACAGTTATGCTTTTATGGGCAGTGTACCAGAAAGACAACTTCAAAATCAACTTCAGAACTTTGTTCTGAATCCTTTGAAGTGCTTTTTCCTGGTAGTGCTACAACTAGACCATAGTGGCACAGCACAATAAGGCATGGTCGGTCTAAAAACTTGTTTAAATATTAGAAGTTTATTCTTCAGGCAGAGTTTGAATTTCCGATTAATAAGAGCATACTAACATTTCATATATTTGCTACATTTGACTTGAATGTTATCTCTAAAAGTTTATTTTTTGTCAATGTCAAGTACTAGTCCAAAATATTTTACTTGGTTTGACCAGGAAATTGTAACTCCATTCATAGTGACTATGTGACTACTAGGGTTAACTACCCTATTTCGGGCCTATTAAGCACAACCCGCACTTAGTCTTTCTTAATCTTGCGTAGTTTAGCACCAAACGGAATGTTATTATTACTGATTGCTTAAAAGTTTATTTAAAATTATTAAGATTTGATAAAGAGAAACAAATTGTTGAGATATTGTTAAAAGTCTAACACTGCTTCTTGACGCCAAACTCGGCCTACGGATTCTAAACTCGGCCTAACGCATTGAAACGCCAATGAATTCACTTCGGCCTATCGGATGAAGATAAAGATTGATTCGGTCGGACCGCTTCATTTGTTTTTGAGAATATTTGGTGCAAACCAACGGCTTTACTTCTCTTCCGAAGAGATGTTATGCCTCAGAACATCCCGGCGGCGCCGACTGGGATTGAACCCAGGCCTGCTGGGGTGAGAGGTAATCACGGTTACCACTAGTGATACGCCTTTTATGAAATCTCAAAAAGTTTAATAGCTCGTCTTCATTATCTTTAGGAGATCGAGCATTCCAATTTCAAGATATTTAATGATTTAAAATCCATTTCTGAATTTCAAAGTCATGACGATGTTGTTCACAAATTCAACTCCAGTTTGAATTGCATCATGTCGATTAATGATTTCTGTAAAAATTCCATATAAGGAGCAGTAATTTTACCCAAGTCAAAATCACCAAAATTTCTGTTAGAGTTATGTCGACTAGAATTTTGATTTAAATTTCTGCCAGCTGCAATAGCAGCATAGGTAGCTTCATTTACTTGCTGAACTTTGTTAGCAGCAGGTATAGATGAAGAATTTTAAGCAAAGGAGCTGTTTGTACCTACTACATTCGTAATTTGTTCCTCACTAACAGTTGTCGGAAACGTGAAGCGTTTTTTTTTTATCGCTTAGAACGAGATTTGCTTTGCTAGTCTTACATTTCCAGAGATTGGATTTGTTGTTTTCACCACAATTGGAACATATAAATTTCTTAGGATCTTTCTTCATAGGACAAGCGTTCTTTGCGTGAGAGGAATCACTTGAAATTCCGTGACCCCATCTCTGGCACTTACGGCACTGGGTGAGGTTTTGAAAATTTCCTCCAGTCCTCGGTTAGCTTTTTCTACGGCCTTAAGGCTGTTTAGTTCAGTGAAGCACTGAAATGAACTAAATAAAAATCATTAGAAATCCTGTAGCGCGAATCGCCAGGACGACATTTCATTTTCATTTTGATTACTTGAACTGGTACAACTCCAAGTAATTTGGTCAATTCATCTTCGATCTGCCACCACTGCGTAGACCTTTCAAGGCAATCTTGAACAGACGTTCAGATTTGGTGTCGTAAGTGAAAAATGTGTGTTGCTTCTCAGTAAGATACTGGAGAAGACGTTTGAATCCGTCCAAGGTTTCAGCCAATACACCGTATTCCCTCCGACGACAAATTTGGGAGTTTAAACTTGAATTTAACGAAGTTCAAAATTTCCGTGCCAAGCGCATGGAAATCGGAAATGGTTATCACAATAGAGGGGACCTTTTCCCTCTTGGCATCAAGCCGGGGAAATTTATTAGTTTTTTTTTTCTCTCGATGATGGGTCATTCAAATCATACATGAGCATGTCAGCATGTTGGGGCCTCCCTTAGCGCAGTTGGTAAAGGCGCAGCTACAAAGCAAGACCATGCTGGAGGTGGCTGGGTTCAATTCCCGGTTCGGTCTAGGAATTTTTCGGATTGGAAAATTTCTCGACCCCCCTGAGCATAGAAGTATGATTGGACTTGCCACACAATTATACCAATGCAAAAATGGTACAGGCATCGAAAGCTCTCAATTAATAACTGTGGAAGTGCATCTAGAACACTAAGTTGAGAGCATGCATTAAGCTAATATGCGATATGCAATAAGCTTGAAATGCGAAGAAGAAGAAGAGATGAGCATGTCAGATTGATTGCTCAAATTAATTTTATCAGAAGGGGGATCAAGAGATTGTCCTTTCCCTTTGCGTTTAACTGCCATGGCGGCAGATTAACGTTTCTCCAAATCGACCTCCAAGCAGATTACTATAAGAATCCGAAGTATCGAAGAGGAATTTTCCAAGTCGATATCCAAGCACCAAACAGGAATGGGGGGGGGGGGAAGGGTCCAAACAAGGATCGAAGAGGAATAAGAGTCAAAAAAGGTAGAAAATGTGCGGATAATAGTAGACAAATTCAGAGGGAGAGATGGGTGGAGAAACAAAATACAATTCGGCAGCAGGGCGTGAATGTGGATACAAAGTTTATTCGTTATGCAGGGTGTCCATCTAACTGGGAAAACCGGGAATTCGGATTTGCAAAAAAAAAACGAATTATGCGGGAAAACCCAAATCGCGGAAAAAAAACATATATGCTCATCCCAAGTAATAATTTTGGTTTTATCATTGTCTTGTAGGCCCTAATTTGTTCTTGAAGAATCCTTTAAACCTTTACTTTCAATATTACTTGGAATCAATCAATTTTATATCACATACACCAAATTTACATGAATTTTTCTAAGTGTAGATGTGTAAACAAGAGAATATAACTCTTGTTTACACATCTACACTTAGAAAAATTCATGTTGATTTGGGTGCTCTGAGAGTGACAAATACGAGCGTCAATTTTGACATAAATTTGTGTCATAACAGACGCGAAATATAGCTCAGTCCAACATACTTTTTGTCGAGTAACGAACTTTTCAGTCTCGGAGCACTTAATATTACATAACATGTTTGTTTACGTCTCATCTTTTATGTCAAAGATGGATTACGTCACGAGTAAAATGAGTTATTTCTAAGTGTGTGTACTCAACTTTCATATTATGTTTTTCAATGTGGTAAAGAATCAAAAAATCCTCAAAACTATTGCACATATTACTCTCACTCGCAATCTGTTCGCGCACGGGGCAGATGGTGATTTTGCCGTTATTTCTACCTCGATAGCTTACAGAGTGATTTTTAGAATTTCTTTTTGTGTGACTAAAATAAAACAAAATCTGATGTCCAGGCATTTTGAAAAATCTAATAAACCAAATCAATGAAGGGGTTTCAGGAAGGTTTAACCATTCTATCAATTTCGTATACCTTGTTGAGTCTGCAGAACTGAAAGATAATATATCCGGGCCGATTTGGATAATCCAACAATGTTATTTTTAAACGCAATTAATAATTTTAAATTACGTTATGAATCTCCGTGATGTACAATAATGCCCAAAAATGTTGAGTGGACATCGAACAAGATTTCGATTAAACTGTAAATATCCCCAGGACAATTGTCAGAATGATACAGAACTCAACGGACTGTTTTTAATGATTCTGTTTCCAGTCCCGTGGTGAAAAACCTTGGAGTGCCCCAGGGAAGTGTATTAAGGCCCCTGTTATTTATTATGTATATTAATGACTTGCGACGTGTTTTACGATTTTGCGGCATTAATCTTTTTGCAGATGATACTGTGTTATTCATTGTAGCTAAGGATTTAGATGATGCCGTTTTACACTTGAAGATTTGCTTTCTCTAAGTAGATGGTTGAAGTATAAGCAGTTGAAATTGAATACAAGTGAAACTAAATTTATGGTAATTTCGCGTAATCGATTAAATGAGAACGTCTCTGTTGTAATTGATGATGAGACTATTGATCGCGTTCGGGAGATTAAATATCTTGGCGTGATT